AGGTATCTGTCATTAAACCAATACCAGGCAGTTTTGAGTACTGTGGCTGTATAGTAGGTTTTGAGATCTGGCAGTGTGAGACCTCCTACTTTGTTTTTCCTCTTCAATAGTGCTTTGCTTATCTGAGGTCTCTTTCCTTTCCATATAAAGTTAGTGATTGGTTTTTCCATATCCCTAAAGAATGCTGATGAGATTTGGATTGGGATTACATTGAATGTCATAGGTTACTTTGCAGTAGGTATTCTTTTTCATATTCAGAAGGTATTCTAATCTTATTTTCAAAGAATAAATATTAGAAAATTTTTTTGCATTCTAGATAAAGTAAGTTTCTTAATTTCACATTACAATGGAATTAAAAGTCTTACATAAAATTAAAAATATTTCAACCCTACAATTATAACTTATTGATGAGAACCACTCATTCTAGCTGGGTCAAGAGGAAACATAGTCTGATACCTAGGTTTTATCCCAACCAATAGATAAGAATCAATCAGATGCCATTAAGCCAGATAGATGTATCTTTCAACAGCTAAAGAGAGTTCCATCAATACAATTTTTAAATCCCAACAAAATGAACATTAGCTCTTCCTTACAAAAAGTTTGAAGACTTCCATGTTCTTTAAAAAGTTTTACAGTTTCAAAAAACAGGTTTGTAAACATTTAAACATTTTTTGGCAAAAAAAAATTTAAACACTTAAACATTACAAACCTGGGTTCTTAATATTCTTAGTTGAACTATTCCTTCATTCTCTTCTTCTCTCATCCTTTCTGTAGTGAGCTGCAAGCGTCCAATCAAGTTTATTTTACCCCTTTTTTGGACTTTTGCATTTTTTCTATAAAAAACACAGAATCAAATGAGAAACATTAAACCAAATGTTAAATATTTTACAGTGAAAGATCTTTTAAAGATCAAATGGCAGCAACTATCTAAGAGAAAAATTTAGAAATATGCTGAAAATTAGTATCTAGAACTATTTAAAGGACAAGTTAACAAATTACAGCCTTATTTAAAATGAACTCTGATTCTGACCAAAAGATAAGATAAAGACTCTGATAACAGCATACAGGTGACAACACACATTGTAATAACAGTTAATATAGCTTATATTGCCATGAAAGTGATTAGATAACTGGAGATGTATGAGTCACAATTTAGTATAATCTTCTAACTGGATCTTCAAGAAAAAAATGCTTTTAGCAGATTCAGTTGCCTTATAGTGTAAAAAAGATGTTCACTTCAAAATGAAGTGCAACACAGTATTTTACCAGACACCAAAAATACATCCACGGAAAATATGGTAAAGAAGTAAATACTTCTATTTCATTAATTTAATAAGCAACTACATGACATTAATGTATAGTTATGACCAATAAAACAAACCAAGATCAAACCCACAGCCATCAAGCAGATTCTGACTCTTAGCAACCCTACAGGACAAAGCAGAACTCCTTGATAGGGTTTCCAAGGCTGTTAATTGTTACAAAAGCAGACTGCCTCATCTTTCTCCCACAGAACAGCTGGTGGTACAAACTGCTGACCTTTTGGTTAGCAGCCAAATACTTTATTCACTGTGCCATCAGAGTACCTCATGACAGTATATAGTTATGTTTTACATATCATATAAAGAAAATAATTATTTTATCAAAAACAAAGTACTGAAACCAAACAAAGCATTTTTATTTTAGATCAACCAACATAAACCTTACATTAAACTGAACTCCTGGTTCACGGAGAAGAGGGTACCTTCTGTAAAGTCTTTGGGTGAGTTGACTTGAGGCTCATACAATAAAACTTGCCGTTTTAGCTTTGGGAAAGCTACTAAAGACTACAAAGAATAAAAAGAGAAAACAGTGTCTATAAACAGTATGAAATACTAAGATCAATTCTGTAACATGACCAACATTGGCAAGAAAGCACTGTAAGTGCAAATTCAGAATTCAGACTTTAATTTGGTATTGCTATGATTATAGCAGAGTAAATGCATGATGGGGAAAGGAAAAATGTGAAAGTAAAGTGAGTTGGTTATTAGGAAACATGCCCTCTTTTCGATGAGAAGACCAGAAAAATAGAAGTTAGTTGTACACTTACTTCTCACTTATTGACTATCTCATTATCCAACATTTCGCATTTATGACAATAGTAAAAAATCTACTCTCTGACTCTTTTGTTTATTAATGACATACATCTGGCAGTAACAAAGGCTGAGGTATGAGCTGAGAATAAATAATGCTAGCTGTGATGGTTATGTGTCAACTTGGCTGGGCCACAATTCTCAGTGGCTTGACAGTTACGATATTCTCAGTTAGTCTGGCAGTTATGTAATGACGTAATGTGGCAGTTATGTAATGATGTAATAATCATCCTCTATTTTGTGATGTGGTATGGTCATCCTCCATATTCGTGTAACACTGATATTTGAATAATGATATAGTCTTTGGAACCTAATCATGTTGATAAAATAAGAAGTGGGTGTATATGACTACACCAAACACCACTTGCCAATTATAAGTCAACTGTCTCCTCCCTAGGTAAGAATTTATTTTGGAACTTTTAAGAAGTTTATGGAGTAAGAGTAAAATGAAAATATAGCTATGAAAAAGTCAGAAAGTAGATTTTACAATCCTCAAAAGGACTAAAGTTTTCTGAGTCTTGGTCATCTTCTGATTTCTGGTCATCATAAAATCTTAGTCAAAAAACACATTATCAGTATAAAAATTCATCACATGTCTTTGGTCATCCTCCTCACAGGTAACATTAAAATACCAACTTCATCTTTTTTTCTCTCTCATCTTTTTTTTCCCTTGCCTTTCTCCATCTTGATAACCTGCCTATTTTGAAATTCTTTTCTCCATTAATAATACCCATTAATGTTTTTTTTTTCTTTGACTAACAATCATTTTGAGAGTGTTATTAATTAATAAATTTATTACAAGACAATTGTATACTTCCTACTAACTGACAGGATACAATTTTTAAAACAAAAAACATAAAACAAACCCATAAAGTCCTTCTAAGCTCAGCATCAGGGAGTTCAGTTGCAAGTTTTAGATTTTCAAAGCTGATTTTCTCTCTGGGTCTTTGGTTCCATGCAAACAACACAGCCAGTTGAAACGTCGTTACCTCCAAATCATATTGACCTACTTCATTCTTAAATGTTATCTATGACAGATAAAACATTAAAAAAAAATCATAATGATCTATCATTATGAATCACTGATCTAACATAATATCTCTTACATGATATTGTATGAGGAAGAGACTACTAGCTGTCTTTCAATATGCATTCTTCCTTTTATACATAATAACAAAAATTTAAGCACACCTTAATAATTGCCCCGAGTAAAGGCTCATCTCCTAGCTTCTCCTTTAGCAAACTGTGGACATGTCAATCAGTTCTGACCAATGACATGCAAGTGGAGGTGAATATGCCCTTTAAAGAAAGGTGTACCTTCTCCTTTTCCTTCCTATTGGGAGAAATACAGACATACTGGGAATCATATTGAATTATGCTGACAAGGGCAATATCGGAAGAATGGTAGTACAAGGAGTCTATGTTCCTTAAATTTCACAGAAGAGATCAACTGTATTGGCTCAAGCTTTCATATGTGAGAAAGGCAAAGAACTATCTTGTGTTGTTATGAATTTCTGTCAAGTTTATTCTGACTAAATGAGAAGCCCATGTGTGCAGAACAGAACTGCTCCAAAGGCTTTTCAAGGCTGTGACCTTTTGGAAGTAGATCACCAGGCCTGTCTTCTGATGTGCTTCTGGGTGATTGGAACCACCAAGCTTTCAGCTGCAGTCAAGTGCTCAACTGTCTGCACCACCCAGGGACTCCCTATCTTGTGGTCAGCCATTCTTATTTGGAGTTCTGCTACTTTCAGCCAAACCAATATATGAACTAATACATCTACTTACAATTCCATTTGACATGAGATGATGCCAATGTAATTTTCTACCACTATGATTTTTTTTGTAGAATTCTTCTACTTCAGGTATCAGGTCCTCCAGTTCAGTGGGCAGTGAGACAAATACTTTCTCAGAGCTTCTTGACCAGGCACCAGCATTCAGAATTTTTATATTCACTGAGTCAGCTATAGGCAAAAATATCAGAAAATATAAATAGTCATGACAATGGATAAAATCCAGAAAAAATAATACAGAGTAAGCTTTAATGAAAAATAAACACGACTCTAAAGATTTTTCTGAAGTATTTTTTGTTCCAAAGTAAAGATAAGCAAATCTAACATTCTGCTTTCACAGCTGAATCCAAGAAAGTGGACTTCTAAACAACTCTGGATCTATTACTGCTAACATTTATCTTTGATTTACTAGAAAACAAATATTCTTCTTTAAACTGAGCTTTAAAGTATACATATATTTAATTATAAAATAATACCTGGTAAGGCCAATTTATTGTTTTTGTGCATTTCCTTAAAAGCTTGGTTTAAATCTTCAGATACTTTTATGTCCTGAAACATTCTAGCAAGCTTGTTTACATAATCTGCTGGCATACCAACTTCCTATAAAAATCAAAGACAAAGGCAATAAATAGTAAATATATATATATATATATATATATATATATATATAAAGAACTTGATAAAAATT